TGAAAATAAAAATACTTTTTGGATAATTAAAAAATATGTAAAGTAGCACAAACTTAGACATAAAATAAAAAAAAATATATAACAATACAAATGTTATAAACCCATTAAATGAAACCCTATTATAGGCCCATATTCTTGAAGGTTAACTTCTAGAATATGAGCCTATAATACAACACATTTTTTTTTTACCTTCTAGAATATGAGCCTATACAACACAATTCTTTTTTTAACACTTTATTTTATTAAAACTGATTTAAAATGAATTACATCCCTGAATAAGTTCAATAGAGGAAATACAAAGAGAAACTAATGGTTTTTTCTGCACCGAAAATTAAGTGAGGTTAATAATCGTTGAAGACACATTAGCGATACCGAGATGAACTTGTTTCAAATCGAATGCAGACAATTAGGTGTTTCCGAGTCCACAATAGCAGCCGGACTTCCAAAATCTATTAGGATAACATGATAAAAAAAATCCTCTTCTTTGATAGTCTTTGTCAATTTTGTTTCGAGTTAGTTTCAGTAAAACCATCGTTGAACAAGTTTGAACTGTAAAACTTAAATAGATAGCCAAAATTGACTAGACATTAAACATAGATCTTCTACGAAGGAAAAACTTCATCCATAAAAACTAAAACCAATCAAGAGAACCACAATAACTCATAAAACTAGACGGCAAAAAAACATTGCATCGTCTTCTGACCAAAAACTCCAAAACATCTTCTAGATAGCATGTCGAACGTATAAACTACTATTTTACAACAGTCTCCCTCTCACGATGCCGGCAAAAACACTAGACATCGCAAAGGAATAAACTCATATCTCTCTTTCTCTTATTCATAACAATAAATTATTATTTTTCTTTATTTTTTAAATATTCTAGATTTATAAAAGTATATATTTTGAATTTTTGATAACGTGCCAGTTGATTGTTGATGACTCATGTGTTATGGCAGCTGACTATTGATGACGTAACACTTGACTGTTGTTGACAAGTCAATGTATGAACAAGATCGTGCCTTAGACCATCTATATTCGAGACATTTTGTGGATGTCTTTAAATAAACAAATATTAAAAACACACTCTCTCATCCTTTTACTCAACTTTATATCTTTTCTTTCATCATTTTACTCAACTTTATTAATTTTATATTTAAACATACTTCAACTTTCATCCATTCTCTCTCCAACTTTATCTTCTAAGAGACATTCTCTCTCCAAAAATACCAACTATCTCCTCTTTTTACTCAAATTTTATTAATTTTATATTTCAATACACCCTATTATTTCAACAAAAAACCCTCTCTTTCTTCTTTTTACTCAACTTTTAATAATTTTATATTTAAAGACACCTACAAAATGTCTCCAATGCGGATGCTCTTAGAGTTTCGGAGGCCTAAAACAAATAAAAAAAAACCAAATTTAATTTAAATATAATAGACTTAATAGTAATGTTAGTTAAAAAAAAAATTACAAACGTAATCTTTATGATAGAAATGT